ATTTTATTAATTAATAATATAATATTATATAATAATTAAAGTTAATAAAAAAATAAAAAAAAGTTACCGGTACAAAATGATCCGGTAAGAACCGGTTCCGGTCCGGTCCAAACCGGTTCCAATCCGGTAACTAAGGGACCGGACGGAACCTTTGGAAATTTCCGGTAAAACCGGTTCCGGTAAGGAAATCCGGTAACGAGGACCGGTTCCGGTAAAACCGGTCCTGTTGATCCGGTCCTGTCCGTTTGCCAGCCTTAGCTACAGCTACATCAATCACAAATACAATACTCATATCTTGTGGCTGCTTCATCGACTGACACACATTGAATTTTACCTCTTTCTTGTTCAACCTGAACTTGAGCTCACCGCTCTCCATGTCCACTAGTGCTCTACTTATGGCCAAAGATGGCCTCCCCAAAATTATAGGAATCTCAAAGTCCATCTCAAAATTTAGAATAACAAAATCGGCACGAAAGATGAAACTTTCCACTTTTACCAACACATCGTAGAGAATACCCATAAGCCTCTTGATTGACTGGTATGGCATTAATAACCTCATAGTGGTCCGTTTGAGGGATTCCAAGTCCAACTGCTTGTATATGGAAAGTGACATGAGGTTTATACTGCCCACATATCACAGAACGCCCTTGAAAAATGAAATGCATCAATTGTACAGGGAATAGTGAACGTCATTGTGTCTTCTTTCTTCTGAACCAAAGACCTTATAGCAATAGCGCTACAACGATGCAAATTATCTGCCGGCTTGAAACTGACCAAGTCTTTCATGAACTTAGCATAATCTGATATCTTCTATAAAGCTTTCACCAAAGATATATTTACTGAAAGTTGACGAAACATAGATATGAATTTCAAGAACTTCCTATGCCTCCGTGGAAATGGAGGTGGTAGTCTAGGAATTGGTTGCAAATGTTGTGATACCTCTACTGCTGGATCCTCTGTACTATTATCCTCTTCAACATCTTTAGGACTAACTTCCACCTTTTTTGGCTCTCTAGAATCAACAAGAACCTCTTCATCAACATCTTTTTCAGCCAGAGTATCAACTTTAGCATCAACATCTCTTTCCTACTCAATACTTAGATGTAACACCTCCGAAACTAGTAGGCTTAACTAGAGCTTGTCGTAAGTGTTAGAGTCGTAAAATTTGCTTCTCGTACTTAGAATGAAGAGTTTAGGAGTTTAACGTCAAGGTACGACTCTCCAAGGACCAACCAAGGGTCCTTGAGGAGGACACTAAAGTCCACCTAAACACTGCCTAAAACAGTGTACCCACGGAGAGACCTACGCCCCGTAGGGTGGTCCACATTTCGTGGGTGGAGCCTCGTGGGTCAAATCCAAGTTAAGGAGCTGAAGACCCCAGCCCACGCCCCACCAGTACGGGCTGTGGGTAGTCCACACCCTGTAGGTGGGGGTCGTGGATGGGGCATGTAAGTTGGTCTTAAGTTGGTTATGTCTAGGGGTAGTTTAGGCAATTCCTATTTTAGTTAGTATTAAGTGAGGTAGTTTTGTATTGTTTTAATACACCTATATAAGCCTTTTTATGTCATTAAACAACCCATTCACCTCAGGAAATCCCAAAATCCAAATCAATAACCAACTTTCCCCAAAATCTTCTCTCTAGTACTCTAGGGAAGAAGAAGAAGAAGAAAGGTGAAGCTAGGGTTGAAGAATCAAGATTTTCTCCTCAAATTAGTGGGAATTCTTCAATAAGTATGGTAGCTCTTCATCCATGGGTATCCTTCACCCATGGAGCCCCTTCAAAACCCCCAATTTCAAAGCTAGAAAACCCAAAAGTTAGGGTTTGACTTCAATCTCATGGATTCCTTTCAAATTTGTTTTAAAGGTTGAATTATGTTTGTTTATGGATATATTGACGATTTTATATGATTTTAAGTTGAATTCCTCAAGAATCCATGAAAACCCTATTTTCCCAAATTGGATCTCAAAGTGTGGGTATTGATTGATGCAAGTAGAATGTTATAGAATTATGAATGTTATGAATTGATTACTTGAATCATGTTATTATCCATGTCTAATGTGGTAATTCTAGATGTGTTGATTGAATGTGATCTATGGTCCTTGAAGGGAAAAATATGAGAATTATGTATGATTATGAGATTTATGTACATACTTTATGAATACTTTGAGATCAAAGTGATTATGACTATGATGTAATTGTGGTGTTGTTGAAAGGCTATTCTCACACACACACTTATGAATGAAGTTTCCATGATTATGATAATGATGTTGTGTTGATTGAAAGACTATTCTCACCTATTGAATCTAGGAGCTATCTTATGAATGATGTTGGATTGAGTGTTGATACATTCTTCCATAATAATGAACTCAAGTAATGAAATGATAAGTACTCCATGGGGATTAATGCTTAGTACCGAGTGGATATTGATATTAGATGGAAGCTCTCACGTGAGTTGAGGCGGGGTTTCTAGAAGCAATCTCTTGAGATGGATGCCCATACGTGAGTTGAGGCGGGGTATCTAGTAGCAATCTCCGTGTCCCATAACTATGTGCCCTCATAGGTTTTTAGCTAGTGGATCCACCTAAAAGCTAAATTAATGGTTCTACCTTAGGTAGGACACCCTTTTCAGTGTGGGTAACACCGAATTCCATGATTTGCTCACATGGTCTATGTCGGTTAAGGCTTACCCCCACAATCAATGATTATGAACTATGGCTTCTCAAGAAGCTCTACTTAGTGAGGGTGGGAGTATGGGCTCTCATTCATGCATTGCACAAGTAGGCTTTGAGAGTAGTTATGGTGTGTTCCTCTTATGTTATGAAGGTTTATGAAATGATGTATGCCTAATGTGGATTGTTGTTATGAGTTGCTTTCCTTATCTATGAGTATTACACTAAGGATGATATCAAAGAATGGTAAGTATGATTATGGTGGCCTGAAAGTGGTACTTAGTGTAGATGAGATTATATGATCTTATCTATGCATTGCACAAGTATGACTTAGGGTTACTCATGAGATGGTTCTATTATGCTATGATGATCTATATGTTGAATATGCTTATGACTTATGCTTTTACACTAAAGTTCATGATGATTCTCAAACTTAGTAAAGTGCATGATTTTCAACTAAAATGTCATTTTTAGCACGATTTCATGATTTTATGCATGACTATCATACTTAGTGCATTTTTGTACTAACCCATATTTTCTACATTTTCCCCAAGAGTAGGGATTGGCACTCAATTTGGTTCCCATTGTAGCTAGAGCTTTGGATTGATCATTCTCCTTACTAGTTGGTGAGTCCTCATGATTTGAGCACGGATATCTTTATTTAGTAGTTTCTTTCTAGTATGCCATTTTTGGATTGTGTTGTAAGGGTTGTGTCCCTATTTAATTCAAAGATTGTATTAGATGGCTAAATGAGACAAGTCTAGATTTTCGGTTGCTTTAATAAAAGACTTTGGTTCTATGGATAAAGTTTTAAATTCCGCATCATTTCTTTTATCTTATGTTATGATATGTTAAGGGTCTTGTATGAGACCTTTCGCGGTTGAGTACGCCTTGTTACATCTAGGGGGTACCCCTGGGTCGTGACATTAGATGTACAGTCCCCAGGAGTGACTTAAAACTTCTAGTAGTAATCGACATACATATCTCATCCTTCCTCGGGTTGTGAACAGTAACACTAGGCAGTTCTCTGATTTAATGTGGTGAACAGTTGCCCCATATGATGCTCCAACTGCTTAATAGATAAAGAGTGCGAATCCACCTGTTGACTCATGTTGGAAACTGTCAAAACCAGCAAATATTAGGCCTTAAATAGGACTCCTTAGCGACAGTTTCACTAATTACAATTCGCAGCTACAGTTTGGTTTGCTATGCACTTATATTCGTTGTATTTTTCACGGGTTTGAGAGAAAAAATACAAACTGGTTTATATCAAAATGAAAACATATTAGGCGGAGAGAGGCGAGCAAGTTCAGGAAAGCGAGGAGAGAGGCAAGCGAGATCGAGAGAGGGAGGAGAGAGGATGAATCATGTTGTATTCGTTGTATCACGAATACATTGATACAGAATACAAATACAGTTGATACAAAATGCAAATATAGTTTTTCGAATACAATTGATAGAAAATACAAATCTCTCACATATATTTGATTAGTTACAATTAATACATAACACATTTGACGGAGAGGATGAATGCATATTGTGTTTGTATGAATCACGAATACAATTGATACAGAATACAAATATAGTTGATATAAAATACAAAATAGTTTTTCGAATACAATTGATAGAAAATACAAATCTCTCACCTATATTTGATTGAATACAATTGATACATAATACATTTGAATAGATTTCTTTTTATTGACGGGGTGAGAGGGGGAGAGAGAGAAAGAACGAGAGAGAAGGCAGTGAGAGGAGAGAGGCAAGGGAGAGAGAGGAGAGAGATTTGCTATAAAATCCTACATATAGCTATGAATTGTAATATTTTAAACTTTAGTAGTTAATCATAAATACCTATCAATGTTTGCCTTGTTGCGTAATTTTTCCTTGAAGGACATCGTGTACACAATATAAAATATCATGAATAGACTTCCCCGCTATCATGCATAAGTTAAGGCATATTCGAAGTCCAAGTCTACTTACCTGCATTTGAAGACTTACATCCTTGGCCCAATACTATGGGGTGTAACAAAAACATTAAGATACATGAATATATATGACAAATATACAGGAGTTCTGCATAATCAGCTTATTCCCCAATGTTACAGGAACTAAAAATTAGAAAAAGAAAAGGCAAGCATGTAGACAACTACATTTAACTGATTCACACCCTAAACTTTCAGATAGTTTGCACTGAACAAAACTGCCACTAAATATAAGACGGTCCATCTAATTAGACCTTGGGAAGCATTTTTCTAATTCTTTCAGAAATGGAACACTACATCTGAAGTTCACATGTGAGGTGATAAAGGTTTACTACTTACTTACAATGCGAAGTGGCATCGCTCATCTCCAGTTTCATTCTTCTTCTGTGGTTTGTCGAAAATCATGCAGCACACTTTTCCGTATAAATTCAATGAATTAATTTTGTGAAGTTTGCGTTTAGCAGAGCCAATCATTCCCTTTACTGGATCTTCATCTTGGTATTGATCTCTGTAAAGCAAGCTTTCAAACTTCACCAATCATTCCCTTTTACCCTCTTGTGTATCATCTTCTACATCAGAACTGTCGCTACCTTCCTTCCTATCCATTTTGATAAGACCAATGTCACCTTGTGGAGTTTCTTTGCATAAGGATTCAGTTTCTTCATCCTCGTCTTCACCCCTTGCATCAGAGTATGCATATCTGGAATGAAAACTTCGTGTCAGTTAAAAGCAATAAAATGTAAAAGGTTGAAGGGGTATTACAGCTCCAGAAAATTAAAGCCTAAAACGCTTCAGAACTTTTCTCATCTTGTTGAAATGTCTGGCTGTAATTTGAGAAAAGAAATTGTCTCTAACTAGAAGCAAAACTAGCTTTGCTGCATTATTATTACCCACTGATGAATTGCTACAGTAAAAAAAAGGGTATTTTTTTTGAGAAATGGCAAGTCCAAAGGAATGGTAGCATTAGGAGCCTGCCCTTTTCTTCATTAAAGCAAGTTTCTGGCAGTTCCCAAACCTGGATTCATTAGGATATGGATTTATCCTGTTCACTAATGGTAAACTTTGCCAAAGTTGAATTATAACTCAATTGACTAGATAAATGTTGAAATGGTGAAGTTTAATCCTTCACACATAAACTGAGACAAAACATGTAGAGATGGTGTAATTGTATTGAACAAAAGACCTGTTACTACAGATAGTAACATGGAGGGTGGAGGAAATATGAAAGGGAAAATTAAGCATAAAGTATTAATGGAACTGCAGACTTCAGTTTTTCAATGCTTTAGTCTTTGGAAGAACCAAAAACAATGTCATGTCAGGATAAAGCATGGATGCATTCTCTTTTTCAAATATGTATATGTTGCATCTCTTTCAGGCAATTAATGTTTGACCATTTTTATCTTCCTGCATTAAATGATTTACTAGATAACTCAAGACTAAAACACAACACTATTTATGACTCTTCCAAAATATCTACCGTTGTGAGGTCTGAGATGGTGCCCATAGGTAGCAGATGACACACAGCAGTCCAAAGGCAAGAATATCCCAGAAAGCAGTGATGATCCAACCTCCCTGCCACCTCTCATTGAAGGGATCTGTTGCTTTGAAGTAAACCTGCAGGAAAGGACTAGACGATTTAAGCTTTGCAGGTTGCGGGAATCCCTACAACATTCATCCAGGATTAAAGAGAAGACATACAACAGATCAACCAAATGGAGCTGGTTACAGAAGTTTCTTCTAAAACGAACTCTGTCTTACAGGCGATTACTGGTGCCACAGATTGGAACTTTTTTTTTCATACACTAAACCCCACCCTGCAAAGCCCCTCCACTTCTCCAGTTGTCAACAATGGCTTTCTATTTGCCCCCTTGGAGAATCAAACACCCAATCTCATGATTGTAAGTGAAGGGTTGTTTCGATCAGGCTATCCTTCTCTTGTCAACAGGGAAAAGAAGGATCCTTTCAGCAGGAGAAGATCTGACAGTATGATCAGTTCCACCCCGAAGAAGAATAGAAACCACAAGGACATACTGTACTTGGTAGTTTCATAGCTTGCTAAGTAATGATCTTTAATGGGAAAATTGTAATGGAAAATAATCACGGATTTCCAATTAGCTGACTGACAGAAGAAATACTATGGAATGGGATTTTGTTTTCCTCAAAATTTTGAATAATGGAAAGTTGGGGTATAAAATAGTCATGAAGAAACCTAATTCTTTTAGGATTACTTGGAACAATATATTCCCTTTTACAAACCTACAAGTTACCCCAAAACTCACACATGACAGAGCGGTTGAAACTTGTAACAACATTTCCAAGTACCTTTAAAATAAAAATTACTGAGAACCACCCTTTTTTTTTTTGATGACAAGGGAAACCCGCAACCGCTACCCTTTGGGTGCGCACAGGGTAAAACCCCCGCTCCTATGCAATAGCTCGCAAACCACGTAGGAGAGGTAACCCGCACTAGGCAAGCCCGGCACGACGAGCTTGACCCAGGCAAACCCCTTGCTTTCGCTGGCAAGGGGTTTCGAACTTGAGACCTCCAACATGGAAGTCCAGTTATTCATCCATCACAAGTTATATAATACACATCCAAAATGTTGACTAGCTTTCACAAATAATACTACTATTTTACACTACTCTCACTTATTGGCATCTTTGTTCTTCCATTGGAATTAGAATTTTAAAGACCGGTTACAACAAGAGATTTCAGGCACAACATACACTAGATCATTTATGAAAGAGAAAGAGATGTAGAAGTTGTTTTTCATGTAGACAGGAAGCCAGTGTTGCAATCAACAACAACCACCCTTTAATATTTAATTACTATGTCAAAGTCGCATAGCTCATGGTAAAGAGGTATATGGTACATAGTGAAGATGAGTCAATAATGAAATGTTTGGTTCAGTTCTTTCTCTTACTTCAAAAAAAATAAAAAAAATTAGTGATTCAGCTGGTATATATTAGCTGTATCGACTACAACTGATTGTATGACGTCTCTTGGGATGGTTGAAAATTTCTTCTCTGAGTTGAAGACAGTCTCAAAGTGCCAGATGAACCGATCCTATCAAGACTTTTCCAGGAAAAATCTAACCAACTACGCCAAAATTATAACAAACTTTAATCAAATTAATGGAACTGTATAGTCCGTATAAGAGATTCCTACCTTCTCCCATCCTGCTGCACTAAATAACTTGGTCCAGGATTTGCTTTGAAATTAGGTTTTAAATGCACCATTTGGAATGAGAAATTATGACTTGAGTATCTTCCAGATATGTGTCAACAATTGTTAGCTTATCTGAAACAAATATTTGTCTCCTAGGTGGGCATTATGCCGAAAGCACAAGAGATTTATCAAGGAGGGGTTCCTATACAGTTTTCAGCAACTACTCAGACAATAACCACACCGTTCAAGTATTTCACTCAACAACATACCCAATGTGATCCCACAAGTGGTGTCTGGGAGGGTAGAGTGTACGCAAATCTTGACCCACCTTGCGTAAGGTAGAGGTTGTTTCCGATAGATCCTCAAGCTCAAGATAAGTGTTTTCATAAATAGGTTTGAAAAATACAAGAGTGAAGAAGTAATGATGAAAATACTGAGGAAAAGGAAAGTATCTAAAGCAAAATAGCAACATTGGTAGGATAACAAAAGATAATACAAGAACAATATTAATAGTATTGATAAGAAGAGGAGAGAGCAAAAGGTGCTTCAACAAGAATCATGCTCTCCCATAGAAAAGAGAGAAATCATTCGGCTACCGACTACTCTAATCCTCGACCTTCATGCTCTCTTATCTAGGGTCATGTCCTCGATAAGTTGAAGATGCTTCATGTCTTGTCTAATCACTTCTCCCCAATTCTTCTTCGGTCTACCTCTACCTCTCCTTAGACCTACCACTACCAAACTCTCACACCTACTCACTCCTTACTGGAGCCTCTGTACTCCACTTCACATACCCGAACCATCTCAATCTTGTTTCCTTCATCTTGTCCACCAAGGTAGTCACTCCCCCCTTGCCCCGTATATCTTTGTTCCTAATCTTATCTCTCCTTGTATGCCCACATTTTTTTTTTGATAAATAGTAACTTTGTATTATATCCAGAAAAGTACTTAGGTAGTACTGAAACCATATCCTAGTATGCCCACATTTAGTGAACCTTTTAAACAAGGAAATTACGATAGACCTAAGGGACAAGCTTATAGGACAAGCCTCTAAGTAGTTATATCATGCTGATCAAATTAAAAAGCCTTATTGATTTAATTTCTAAAGTTCATGCATCAAACACAAACCTCATATCCAATCCATGCAACTGAAGCAATGACAGTGATTGCTAATGCATTTGAAAATTGTCTGTAAATATCCAACTTCACAGAACTCCTCTTTGCCTGAAGAAAACAAGTCGTGAGAGAATCAGACATTTTATGAGAAAAAAAGGAGATGAGACGTTTGGAAGATGTAGTTGTACACAAGTTTCAATAAAAACAGTAAGATATCAACCTGCAGCTGCTCCAGTGTCTTTGAAAGAGAAGTGAAAATCCATAAGATCAAGAATGCATCTAATAATGCATCAGGAAGGACCAACATAATTCTTGCTCGCCCTGCAATGTCATTTATTGTACCAACGTATTCGGTAATGTTTAGCAGTATAGATGCCACAAAATAGGTTATTCCAAGAAGGAGCACCTTTGTGGTGAGACCACCAAGGGTAGGGCGAACAACACCATAACCCATTGAGATAGAAAGAATAAGAAGGCGTGAAACAGTTCTCCTTGTGGCTCCAATTGTAACAACCCAACTTGTGAGTCCCACAGGCCTTGCACCAGTATTGTTGAAATAAGCATAATCAAAATACCAAAATATCATCTCCAATAACCCAAGGGCAATAACTCCAGTGATGCAGTACTGGAGCGGCAGAACGTCCTGCCGGTGTCTGACATACTGAAGACACCAGATTGCAGTGAGAAGTATATATGCTACGGTCATTATAGCATAAAACTTCATTAGGGGCGACATTCGACCAGGCAAATATCCATCAGGATTTTTCCATACTGTCCTCCCAGATACCTTCATTCCCTTAAGCTTAGGATCACATGAGATGAAGAAGAGGTTATACATTCCCGTCTTTTTTATGTAAACCTCCTTCTTCTTCAATTGGACTGACAGTTGTCTTCCTTTAAAGTTTACATTCAACACCATTGGCCAATTAGCATCCGTCACTGAAGGTGTTCTAATGACTTCGCCTTGCTTGCAACCTTCAAGTTTAGCAAGATCAGCGGTGCAACAAATGGACCTTTGCCCACCATATGGCGAACCACCAATATTGTCACGATCTGCAGCCTCAAATATTATGATTTGAACCAACCCACTATTATACGCCATAGTTGGATGCTGGTCTGCAGCTGCTTTGCTCCTCCAAAATGTGATATTCTCAAACCTTTAAATGTTCAAATCATCAGATACTAATGCAATAGGTTACAAACAATGTCACTGAGCCCAAAATTTATCTATCAGTATTGTCCCTTAAATTGCACCAACATCACGATAGATCTTCCGGAAATTTAATAAAAAGTGCAGACCAAGTATCATTTTAGATCTGACCATCTTTTCATAATATTTGTGGGTAATCTATCAAAGGTGGATCTCGGATTTAAAGTCAGTGGTAATGATGTACCTTACATAAAATATACGTTTACAACGTCTCAACCAGCTCAGTGGTTACAGTGTACATAACATATATACACTTGCAATTATGAATGAACCAGCTATCTGGGTGGATCCAGAATTTAAAGTTGTGTAATATTCCTCTTCATTTTTATACAGATTTTGTTAAGGTTTTAGGTGGATCCTGGATTTAAAGTAGTGCAATATTCTTCTTCTTCTAAAAAAAGACTTAATAGTATCTTAGTCAGCTTGATCGCCCCGACAGAACAAACCAAAACTTGGAACAGATGGAAAAAATGTCCCTCAACTGGGTTTAGACTTTGATTCCTAAAGTTGCTTGGATACATATAAACACAGACACATATATAGTTGGAGTCCAAGAGTAATTGAAGAGTTCACCTGATATAAGAGAGGCCATCATGGGCCGTAGAGCGAAATGGGCGACGGGGCGGAGGAATGAAGCGGGAGGAAGCGACGCCTTCACTTCCACCGGAGACAAGGTAAGCATTTCCAACTTCTCTGAATGGATCTCTGTTATAGATGTGAATTGAGGATTCCACTGATGTGAAGAGTGATAATAGTATTGCGAGAGTGGGCAGTAGTAGTAAGCACTGGACTGAAATGCACGCCATGGATGAAGGCGCAAATCCAGGCGATAAATTGAGAGAGAGGATGGAGAATAGATCAGCGAGTTTGGTGGAGGTTGAGTGAGAGAGAGAAGATATCGGAATTGTAAATCTGTTACCGGTGAAGATGTTGCTTCTTACGCGCCTGTAAAGCGTGTGCAGCGGTCCACCAGATCTCGCTGCAATTAAACTTAAAGCAACGTATTTTCTTTCCTTTAAAAAAAAAATATATTTTTCAAGGTTAAGTAATTGTCACGCGACATCATCGAAATTCAAGAATTTGAGAGCTTGAGTTATAATTGCGAGCGTAATATAACTATTGTGATGAAAATTAGCTACCCTTCAGTGGGAAAGGGAACGTTTACACTCTAACCTTAAGTAATTGTCACGACCCAAAGTACACTCTAGTCGTAACATGGCGTATAGGACCCGAGAGACCCTATACAAGTCACTTAGCATACATGTACAAGATGATAGAATCTTAAAGAGTTCAAAAGACATTTTCGATTAATAAGGAGTTTGACAAAAAGTAGCGGAAGTCTAACATAAGTCTCAAAGCCATCTATTACATCATAGGAGTGATTGAGACGTAATCCATACATCACATATAAAATCCGAAATGAAAAGACATGAAAGCAATAAAAGAGTATCAGTCCTCCGAACATGAAGAGTCACCAATCTGTTCAAAAACTCTAAGGATCAATCTAGCCACAAGTGTGGGAAGTAGGAGCGCCAGACACTACATTAGTGAAACAATGTAGGCAAGAGGTATAAGTTAGTACATAGAATGTACCACGATCGGGAACCACGACCCGTTAGTGGGACCACGGCATGTGGGTGGGTCCCGTCATTTGAGGTCCAAAATTTATTGGTCTTTGAACTCATCGACGCCCAACCAGGACCGTCCGTGAGTTTATCGATGGACCGTAGGTCGTGGTCATTGGTAAGCTCGACAGTTATTTTCTTAAGGGCTTTTGGTTCTTTTCCCAATTAATATTATTCTATCCTACTACTATGTCGTTTTACCCTTACCTAGAAGTCCTATATAGGTATTTTTAACCCCAAATTTCCCCAATTTAAATCATTCTCTCAAATTCCTAAAAGAAGAACAAATCTTCCTCTCCAAAATATATCTCTCTCTCGAAAGCTTGAAGAAGAAGGAATCAACCTAGGGTTTTCAGGTTAAGCCTCAAATTCCACCATTGAAGGCAAGATTTTGACATTGAGGTATGATAGTCTTTATTCATGGAGCCCTTTCGTCCATGGAGTTCCCAAATTCTCCGATTTACAAAGTTAGAAATCCCCAATTGAGTTAGGATTTTTCTTCCATGTCATGGGTTCTTTAAATATTGATTTACTTAATTGTTTTATGATCTAACAAGCATGAATTGAGATAATTACATGATTTTATGATGAACTCCCATGAACCCATGTCTAACCCTTGTTTTCTAGATTATCATAATTGAAAGTGGTTTTGAATTATGATAAGAGAGTTATGGAATTATGCATGTTCTTGTGAAATTGATGTAAATGTCTTAAGGATGCTTTGAGAGTAAAGTATCAATGTTGTTGTGTTGTGAAAGGGTCTCTCATGAACACGTAAAAGCATGAATTGAAAACTAGCTTTGATTGGTATTCTTAATGGTACCTTTCTAGGGATGACTTATGAGTTAATTAGCTTGGACTGACAATATGACGTGCCTTTCCATGGATTATAAAGAAAAGATAAGAAATTGACAATTCTGTAGGATTTACGCTTATCACCGAGAGGATATTGAGATGGAAGCTCTCCCATTAGTATTGGTCGGATTTCTAGAAGCAATCTCATTATCCCATACCTATATGCCCCCATAAGATGATTGCCTTAGATAGAAATTAGCTAGAAGTTCATGGTCTTACCTTGGCAAGTAGGACACCCCTTTTCGGTGTGGGGTAGAAACCAAATTCCGTGTTGATCGCTCACATGGTCTTATGTGTCGGTTAACTCCCACAATAATGAACTAAGGTTACTTCAAGAAGCATCTCACGAATGTTTTAAAGATGTTAGCTTGCATTGACCATGTTTATATGACTTATGTTGTTTAACTCTTTTACCTCATGTTTTAGCTTGGTCATTGCATGTTATGAAAATGTCCTCTTTTAAGCATGTTTTCAAATGTTTTATGCATGGCTTTCATACTTGGTGCATTTTTTGTACTAAAACATACTCTTACTTACATTTCTTATCAAAATGTAGGGTCCGACGCTCCAGGTTTGAACTTTCGTGGCTAGGGATTGTTAGTAGAAACTTGAAGATTGGCGAGTCCTCCTACATTCAAGGACCGAGCCTTTATTTCATTATGTCATCTTATTTCAGTTTTTGGACTTGATGTATGGGCTACGTCCCGAGCACCTCTTATGTACTAGATGGCTTTGAGACGATGCTTAGATATCCACTTCATTTTACAAACTCTTTTATGTTGAGACTGTCTTTTGAATCTTATATTTCTATTATCTTGTATAATAAAGTCTAAGTGGCTTGTATGAGGCCTCTCGGGGTCTTGTAGGCCATGTTACGCCTATGAGCTACCTTGGGTCGTGACAAACATGGTAATCAGAGCACAAGGTTTAGTAAGGTCCTAGGAAGTCTATTAAGCCACATCGAGTAGAGTCTTGTTCATGAGTGTGAAGCGCGCCACCGTTATGAATGAGAGGCTATAAAATGCTTAGGAAACTCCACTTCTTTCGTTACTCTAAAGTCATGTAATAGAGTTTAACTCTATAACGTCTCTCTCCTAATCCTTATCCGATGCTCTAAAAGATATGGCTACTCGAAGGGCATATGCTAGAAGGAATGCGGGAGAGAATGTGAGTCAAGAGGCTCTTCCTCAAGCTCCTCAAGTTTCGGTCGATCCTTTGGCCGAGCAAGTGACTAATACGGAGCTTAGGGCTGCTTTTCAAGTGTTGGCTCAAGCCATGACGGCCCAAGCCAATAGGGAGGTTGCGGCTCCCGTGAACCCAAATGTGGGTACAACGACATCTACAGTGCGGGACTTCACTAGAATGAATCCTCCGGAGTTTTATGGTTCTAAGATTGAGGAAGACCCTCAAGAGTTCATTGATGAGGTTTACAAGGTGTTGATGATCATGAGAGTGACACCGGTGGAAAAGGTGGAATTGGTCGCTTATCAACTTAAGGGGTTTCTCAAATATGGTTTAACCAATGGAAAGAAGTGTAACACCCCGTATTCGAAACAGACCAAAATACAGATTTCGAGAAATTGCAGGTGCAACTTACGGTCACCATCCACGGACCGTAGGTCAGACCACGGCCCGTGCTGGTGGTCCGTGGTTCACCACTGCAACCCCTCCCCAAACCAGCTCAGAAAATTGGCTAAGTCCCGACTCACGGACAGACCCACGGTCCGTAGATCAGACCACGGTCCGTGGTCTGTGTCCGTGGATCGAGACTTCCCCTACCCAGCCTCTGACACAAACTACGGTCGACCAG